GATAATGTCTGTGAAGAACGCGTATATCTTTGACACAAACAAATGGTATGCCATCGAAGGGACGTCCGTTAGCTTTAGGTGCAAACCTGGCTTCGAGTTCGTCACCGATCCGTTTCGCACATGTCTTGACAACTCAAAGTGGGATCAAACGGCACCCGTATGTCGAGGCACGTAATCAAGCAAATGTTTCTTTCATATTATTGGGTCACATATAAAGGCATTTTAGTTATTGAATCAAAACATGTTAAACTTTTTTATTTTATTATTTTTAATGCAAATAGATAAATCATTACAGCTTGTATGGAACGATGAGTTTGATACTCATTACCTTGATACTAAAAAGTGGATGATAGGCAATAGAAATGATTGCGATAGTAAGCAAATTGTTTTTGAAAAATATTTATTTTATTAGAATGTTATTTAATCTCTCTAACTCTCTCTCTCTCTCTCCCTACCTCCCTCTCTCTTACATTAATTTTAATCATTCAATAGAGTATAACGAGAATAACATGGCGTGCGTTATATCCCCCGACAATATCCAACTCGATAACCAAACCCTAGCCCTAACTGTTAGGCCCGAGAATAACACCAAACACAACATACCCGACGATAAGCCCCTGTTCTCACGGCCCGAGCTATTAGTGAACTTTGATTGGCGTACGACCAGCTATTTAGTAATAAGGGCGGCATTACCACAGGGTCAACTATTATACCCATTTGTACTCGTGAGAATCATGGTGTACGAGATGATTTATGGCATTCCCATAATCAGTCCCATTGAATACATTGACGACTGGGATGCGAGACAGACTAGAACGCAAATTCTCAACGAGGACCTAGCTCAATTTCATACGTACACCATCGAGTGGAACGATACTCATTATGAATGGAGTTTTGATTATAAATACTCGTATACTAATCATTATAATCCGCTTAATGTGAATAGCACGTTTATTGGACCCCGAGCGGAATTGATAACCGAGGTGAAATTTGGCATAAATAAAGGCGATATGTTTGTCTCAAATGATTACCTGAAGTGGAAGTGTTCGGCACTTATCATAGATTATGTTCGCCTCTATCGACGGGCTGATGATAATACAGACCTTTCGTATGATACACTACATGACAGCACTGCCACCGCCCCCGAGATTTGTAAGACTATTATGGATGATATCGTTGGAAAGGAGCGCATATTTGATACCGTAACGGATATACATGGATATAATACTAATTCAGAAAAGTCAAGTACAAACACAATTAGTGTTATTGTATTAATAGTAGTGGTGATAATCAGTTTGGTTTTGGTGTTGACGTCAGTATCCGGCTTAATATTCATGTATTGCAAGCATAAGAGACTGAAACGGATTAACCGAGAGATGGTGTCCGATGTTTACGACGACAACCGTTTGGATGACTACGAAGAGTGCGACTATAATATTGATCACAAATACGAAGAGCCATACGATACGAGTGGTCATTCAAATAATGTGGACCCGGATGGCCCCCCAATTTATCTGGAAATAACTAATACAACTCGTATCTAATGATATTTGTGCTCGTTACAATTTATATGTTAGAAATTATTATTGTTTAACATTGAATCTGTTGTTTATCGCAAATTTTAATACAGTAACGTTTAATTTAAATTTGTTCAATGGGATCGTCGACTATTAGAAATCAATAATTATAATTCATTCATAAAAGTTTTAATTTATTAGATTTTACACTCAAAGCCTGTAACAATTTTAACTCGTTTCTTTACACGACCCATTTAATTCATAAATAGTAAATGAACTTGGTGTAAATGTAATTTCGAATTAAAAAATTACGACTAAATTATGTTCATCTTAGATTTAATTTTAATAATTTTATTAATTTAATCAAACATCAATATGGCAAAACTATGTGTTTATTTAATTAAATAAACTGGAAAGTATCATAATTAATTCTCTTAATAAAAATTTGTTTAATTAAATTTAGGATTATATCCTAAGAACTCTGAGACAGGTAAATTAGCGATGGATAAATCACCATATTGTTGAGCATGTTGCTTTTTTGATGTCACATTCTTGATATATTCAAACTGTTGTTGAAATGTTAATTGACATAGGTCATTGTCTCGCTATTATCTAACCAATTGTTACATGTTTATCGCAAATTTTAATACAGTAACGTTTAATTTAAATTTGTTCAATGGGATCGTCGACTATTAGAAATCAATAATTATAATTCATTCATAAAAGTTTTAATTTATTAGATTTTACACTCAAAGTCTGTAACAATTTTAACTCGTTTCTTTACACGACCCATTTAATTCATAAATAGTAAATGAACTTGGTGTAAATGTAATTTCGAATTAAAAAATTACGACTAAATTATGCTCATCTTAGATTTAATTTTAATAATTTTATTAATTTAATCAAACATCAATATGGCAAAACTATGTGTTTATTTAATTAAATAAACTGGAAAGTATAATAATTAATTCTCTTAATAAAAATTTGTTTAATTAAATTTTCGGATTATATCCTAAGAACTCTGAGACAGGTAAATTAGCCTACCTATTTAGTGGTATAACAACTCGTACAACGAAAAAACTACAGTGTAAGAACTATATAAGTTTGACAACAACTTTACAATTAACTGCATCCAGTAACAGGAGCGATAATAGATTGGTTAACAATGTATATAGCGACCCTGTTTCGAATATCAAATAATAAAAATTTACATTTAGTACTATAATAATATCATAAAAATTAAAATAAATATGAATTAATAAATTATATATACCTAGATACGTTTTGTAGAAATTATCATAACAACAAAAATTAGCCCCTTCATTAGGGTTAGCCGATGTGGTGGCGTAAACATTGATATCATTTGGTAATTTTTTGTCAAACATAGAACCTAGGTAATAGTAAATAAAGGTAAGTTAATTTTATATTTTTAAAAATTAAATAAATTAAACGAACCTGAGTAGCAAGCATCAATGTAAAACACTAATTTAGCGTAGCGTTTGTTTTTATGCAAATCAATTAACCCTGCGTTTAATTCTTCGCCAAATAGGTCAGCCCTTGGAAAATGGACATCATCTACAAAAGTTAACAAGGTCAATAAATATGTATAATATAAAAAATTTTATAAATGAGTTAGGATTTACAAAGCATTCATTTCTGTTATGCTCTAATAAGTTACTTTAATACTTAAAATATGATAAGCAGTATCGTTTAGAAATATAAATCATTTTTTTCAATAACAACCAAGTTAATTCATTTATAAACTGAAATTAAAATTATGAACATGTAGTACATACTCATGATAAATATTTCATTTATTAAAGTAATATCACTATTTAATGTCTATTTTACTGTATACGTTGAGTATGTTATTGAATAAATTTAATCATATTAATTTAGAGTTAAAATGATTTTCATTTTTTAAAATTTAGTAATGTTTTCAAATAATATACTACATACCGTGGCCACCATGGTCATTGAAATAAACGAAAATATGATCATTGGGTCCACTTTTAACCACTTTCTTATGGTTACGCTCGAGCGTACGGTCCCCCCGGAGGACAGCCATAAAATTCTGAAAATACA